AAAATCCCTTTAAAAATGTTAGACCATTAGGTCTGATCTGGATTTTGGGGGCACCACACACCAATTTTTTTTTAATTTTGGAATTGGGTTATCCTCAAAATCCATACCAGCCCCAAAGGGCCTGGTATGGATTGGGGGAGACCCCCATGTTGTTTTTTAATTTTCTTTTTCACCAGCACTTTTGTTTACATTCTGCTGTCAGCAGGGACTCCTGACATACCAACAGTATCAAGGGCCACAATATAGCTGGCAGTGTCCAGCATTGAGAACTGTCCAGTTTTTCCATCCAGTTTAGCTTTTTTCACACTGTTGTATTTGCAAAGGAAAGTCTAGGCCCAGCTCACCTAACATAGGTACACCCAGGCAACTCAGTCATAAGCTCTTGCTACATCAACCATCTGTTGCCTGCGTTCATACCCTAGTGGGGAAAGCAGTGTGGTGCTCTTGTGGTTATGTACTGTACTGCTATACACTGTGTATCTGCTTTCAAGCTTTCACACTGGGTTTAATTTACTAAAACTGGAGAGAGCAAAATCTGGTGCAGCTCTGCATAGAAACCAGTCAGCTTCCAGGATTTACTGTCAAAGCTAAACTGAAAAAGCTGAAATTAGAAGCTGATTGGCTACCATTCACAGACGCACCATATTTTTCACTCTGCCGTTTAAGTAAATCAACCCCACTGGTATCTACTATATAGTCCCAGGTGTGATTTTAGGGTGACCATAAGGCACTGTGAAATTTGCAAACCCACAATGTCTAAAGTATTATAACCTGAGGTGTCAGGGGGGTTAAGACCTTTAGCAGAGGCAAGTTAAAAACAGAGGACCCAATATTGTTAGCTCCTGAAGGGGTAGTGCTGTAGAACATTTCAAGGACTTGTGAAAAAAATATTTGGTTTAGGTGTCTGGGTTTAGATACAGTTAAAGTCTTACGCTAATGTGAAAAAGTTATAAATATAAGTTATAAATATAAGTTTCGAAAAATATAATGTAAAACATACTGAAATGATTTACCCTAAATTATAAAAATAAAATAAAAAATGTATGTGACTTGCAAGCCAAACTATATATTCAATCAAGTGTTTCTATGGATCGCCAACATTTAACACATAACTCAAACTGTGCGACCTAATAATACATTTATAAATGTAGCTCTCCTTAAAAAATATATTAATCCATGCTTGTGATTTGTGATAAACGCATAACATAATCAAATCATACTTTTATAGATAAAACAATTATAATGAGATAATTTCAATAAAAAAAAATCCACATATAAAAAAATTTGATTATTACTTTACTCTAAAAAATATATAGTCCCATTAATCAATAAGTGATCCAAAAATCGTGACGTGGTGACTTATTAATCATAAAATAGTGATTTTCTGTGATCCTCCAACCAGTAAGATTGTGCGCTCACCTCTTTCTATGCCTAAAAAGTAGGCTACACACGCTTGTGGTTCACGCAACCTGGAACCTGCTGGAACAGCTGTAGCATATCATGGATATGTGATCTCTCCTATGGATACCTCGATAAGCCCCTTAATAGCTGGATATCTGTGCAGGGATTAATCCCTCCTTGATCTGCCAGAAATCACCTGCTTTTCTCCTCCTGATTATCTCTTCCTCATTCGTTCCTCAGCAATAAATGAAAATAGGAGACATAGTGCTTTATCCCTAAAACAATACGTTTTATTCCAATACCAATCTCTGTTGCACTCACATTTAAGATAAGATAAAAACGCTCGGTAACAATAAATCCTCTGTCAGCCGCTGAGGCATGTACTTGCCGTCTGCCGTCTGATCTCTTCTGGTGCCGAGTGACGTCGTAGCCCGATCACAGCCCCCTGATGAAGCCACGTGACCTATGGCGTAACACGTAGGGGTGGCGCTACGACGTCACTCGGCACCAGAAGAGATCAGACGGCAGACGGCAAGAGTAAAGTAATAATCACATTTTTTTATATGTGGATATTTTTTTATTGAAATTATGTCATTATAATTGTTTTATCTATAAAAGTATGATTTGATTATGTTATGCGTTTATCACAAATCACAAGCATGGATTAATATATTTTTAAGGAGCGCTACATTTATAAATGTATTAGTACCCTAAATTATATTAATGGTTGAATGTTATACAAGGAAGTTGGAAAATCAATATTTTTAGGAGAAAACTCAGGCAGTATGTCTATTGGCACAAATGCCACAAACCAACAAAATCCAAAAAACAATTCCAGCAATTAACTAAAGCAGTTAAATCTATTTTATTTTTGAATATTTCTCAATGCTTCAAACTTTTTTTTTGAAAATTAAGCAAAGTTATAATAGATATAATAGTATAATAGTCTATACATTGTTAAAAAAAATTTTTTTTTTTTGGATGTAAGGTTTTCTGCCATTTTGTTTTACTTTGAGATGTGCACAAAAGACAAAAGTATAAATTAAAATGTTTATTTATTGCCAATGTTAATCATTGATTGAGTTGCAACATTTCCCAACAGAATATCTTTGTTTGCCTTCATGTAGCCTTTTTTTTTTTTTTTTTTTTAGTTAAAAGTAAAGGTCAGGGTTTTACGCCCCTTCTAGCAGCCCTATGATTAATCATTTATCTACTTACCCCCTATATAAACCCTCCAGGGTGTTTGGCATTTACATGACTGAATGGTCTGGAGGTACCAATTTCAAAATGAAAGAAATCCTTTTCCTGCTTTTCTTCCTATCCTGCAGCCATGCAGACCCCAGAGGTGAGATACAAAATGATATTTGTCTGTAGGAAAGCTCTGTACTTGTTACTGTGACTCATACAAAGGCTGCTTTTGGATGATGTGGGTCAAACCTCAGCTGGATACTAGTGGTAAACGTAATGGACAGTTTTGGAACAAAACAATTATATGTGATATGGCTGTTTTTTTTTTTTTTTTGTCAAACTATTTTTTTTTTTGTAAGAATCTAATTTCTACAGAACAATGGTACATAGCCATGGTACATGAAGTGAAAGCTACCATGTTGCCACAACACTCACTTATTTCTAGCATAGTTTATAGTATAGAAAGAATAAAAGGGACAATCTCACTTTTTTCTGTTGTATAGTTTTATGCACTACGGTCAGTGATGTAAAGACCGATTCTAAAAATCATAACACAATGCACAAGCCTTTGCTGTCCATATCAGCCTATTTGCTTTAGGACTTTAATCTGCCAGTTTGCATTAGAAACTTAAAACGGATTTGTTGTTAAGGACAACAGAGACAGATATTTCAGACACTATTTCCCATAACACCCAATGAAGTATTTTCAAACTTGACAAACTTTCAAACTTTGCTTGCTGTTCACTTGTGGATGTTAAATTGCGTGTAGCACTGCTTTACGTAGCTAAAGTGATAGGTGAAAACAGTTCTAGGCATTCATTGATTATACTTCAGTCATGCCAAATTACAGCTTGATGCCCTTAGACACTTTTGCAACCTTATTATAGTAAATGCTAATTTATATAAAAGCCATTTGTATGATTAAGCACCTTATTTTTTGCAGTTTGGTGTTAGCTAATGTGCTGACTGCTTAGTGTATTATTTTCTTTGGAAAAGTGAATACTGTTGTTTATATCAAACTAAGCTAGTACAAATTAAGAATGCAATCATATCTACACCTCTGAGGCAAATAGCAGCTTGGAGGCAGAAAAACAGTTGGATAAGTTATGTTAAAATTCTCTAAACCCTGAAAATAAAAAAAAAATAATTTACAACAAGCTAACAGCTATCAGGGACTCTATGTACGTTGATGCTAAGCTCCAGGACTAATGCTGTGCTAGGTGATTTCAATTTCAATTTTATGAATTAACTTTTACTCCTCTAGCTCTAGAGCCATACCACATTGGTTTATGTAATGAGAAAACATTAGGGGGGAGGTAAATGAAAAAGGTCATTTTATATAAAATCTATGACAGTATATAGCTTAAAAAGGATTGTTATTGGAGTATATATTAAAACCTTGTTTTTCATCAGTATTTATTAGGTTTATTACTTTATGGTAAACGATTCCCTTATAAACACCTTTTAAAAAAATCATTAATTTCCTAGCATTCAGCCACATCTTCTGGCTTTCTTTTGTGTTGCTTTACCAAATTTCCTGTCCAAGAACATGCATTAAAAACATAACTTTCGTTCATTACATTACATACAGCAAGAATACATGTGCCACAATGCCATCTCTTAATGATAAATAAAATAAAGTTAAAAACCGAGCAAATGTCACACGTCCACAATTAAGCAAAGCAGCAAACACACCAGAATGATATTCTCCTCTCAATCAGTGGAGCTTCCCTTCTGATGTCATCACGTTGTCCGCCATCTTGGAACACCCATGTGTACTGATTGATGCCTGTAACGTCAGCTCTGTTGGAAGTGCAATCTTGTTTGTTTCATTAACCACTTGCCTACCAGGCACTTATACCCCCTTCCTTACCAGGCCAATTTTCAGCTTTCAGCGCTGCCGCACTTTGATTGACAATTGCGCGGTCATGCAACATTGTACCCATATGAAATTTTGATCATTTTTTTCTCACAAATAGAGCTTTCTTTTGGTGGTATTTAATCGCCACTGGGCGCTTTACTTTTTGCGCTATAAATAAAAAAAGTGCAAAAAGTTTATTTGTTTCTTTTATAAAATTTTTCAAACAGGTATTTTTTCTCCTTCACTGATGTGCGTTGATGAGGCAGCACTGATGGGCACTGATAGGCTGCACTGATGGGCACTGATAGGCAGCACTAAAGGGCACTGATAGGCAGTACTAATGAGGTGGCACGGATAGGCGGCACTGATAGACAGCACTAATTAGGGGTCACGGATAGGCGGCACTGATATGCAGCACCGATAGGTGGCACTGATAGGTGACACTGATTATGGATACTGATAGACGGCACTGACTGGCATCACTGCTGGGCACTGACTGGCGGCACTGACTGGCACAACCCCTGGGCACTGACTGGCGGCACTGACTGGCAGCACTGCTGGGCTGTACTGGTGGGTGGCACTGGTGGGTGGGCACAGGTGGGTGGCACTGGTGGGCACAGGTGGGTGGCACTGGTGGGCACAGGTGGGTGGGCACAGGTGGGTGGCACTGCTGGGCACATGTAGGTGGCACTTCTGGGCACAGGTAGGTGGCACTGCAGAGTGGCACAGGTGGGTGCACTGCTGGGCACAGGTGGGGGCACTGCTGGGCACAGGTGGGGGCACTGCTGGGCACGGGGGTGGGCGGAGCTAGTGGGCGCACTGCTGGGCGGAACTTGCGGGTGTCACTGCTGGGCACCGATCATCAGGGCACTGATCATCAGTGCCCTGATGATCGGTGCCGATCCCCGCTCTGACAACTGCCTGTTCTCGGCAGTACTTTCCTCACGATCTGACAGCGTGAGGAAAGTGCAGCCGAGAACCGGCACTTGCATTTCCCTGTGACCAGCGTGTCATTGGACACCGCTAATCACAAGGTAAAAGGCCGCTGTGATTGGCCTTTTACCACATCACGTGATCAGCTGTGTCCGTAGGACACAGCGATCACGGAGATTGCCGGGTGCGCGCCCCCTGGGGCGCGCAGGAAAGCACGTTCTGGGAGGAAGTCATATGACGTCCACCCAGAACTGGCCGGCCGCGGTGAAGCCGTCATTCGGCTATGCGCGGTTGGCAAGAGGTTAAAGTAATTGAATTTACTGCACTATGAAAGGCACCTCTTTATTGTTTTTTATGAGCCAACCTTGATCTTTAATTCTGGAATGGCTGAAGATTGGGTCCCATATAGTCCATCTGTCTGATAGAAGTCACATTCACACTGAGCCCAACTCAACCTCCTATAATTAAGAGGACTGAGAATCTGGTAAGCCTTTGACGTGCCTAAATATGGCGGTGGCCATTCACATTGGTGATTCTTGGATGGAATTAAGAATTTTCACCAGTATTTGCACATTCAAGACACCTTCTTTACTTACTAAGACTGTTTTGACAATATTCTTTATATATGTGGTGTTGAACACTATTTATTTATTTCAGGTACTTATATAGCACCATCAATTTACTTTATATATATATTGTACATTCACATCAGTCCCTGACCCTGAAGGGGCGTAAATCTAAGGTCCCTAACTCATATTCATACATATACATACTAGGGCCAATTTAGACAGGAACCAATTCACCTACCAGCATGTCTTTGGAGTGTGGGAGGAAACTGGAGTACCCGGAGGAAACCCACACAGGCACAGGGAGAACATGCAAACTCCAGGCAGGAGGTGCCGTGGTTGAGGATTTGAACCGACAACCTTAGTACTGCCAGGCAGAAGTGCTAACCACTTAGCCACTGTGCTGCACTATAGGGTCCTTTATGGACTGTTGTCACTTGTGTATGTAGTGCACTTTATTGTGTATTTATTTATTGTTTCTATTTATTTATGTTGTTCTCTCATAGCACAACACCTAATTTTAGATGTTCTTAATTATAAATAAATGCTGTTTGAAAAGTGGCAGGATTGCCTTGGAAGCTGCTGTCAATCACTTCTGGAGGAGTGGCCAGAGGCAGCCTTCTTGGGCTTTCTATGCGTGTTGGTACAGGCAGTGTCTGCACATCATACTGTAGTTCCATCCCAGTAATGTGCACAGAACGGTGGATCCATTTCACCTTGTAAAAGAAAGCAGCCACCCTATATCCATATATTGGCATCAGCACTCAGAGGGCCATCTAATTATGAATAAAAAGCAGACTTTACAACATCAGGGAGCATGACATTTGGCAAGTGATTTCAACAGCAATTTCAATAGCTAAAAAAATTAACCATTTGCCTACCGGGCACTTTTACCCCCTTCCTGCCCAGGCCAATTTTCCGCTTTCATTGTTGTCGCACTTTGAATTACAATTGTGCGGTCATGCAACGCTGTACCCAAACTGGGCTTTTATCATTTTATTCACACAAGTAGAGCTTTCTTTTGGTGGTATTTAATCATCACTGGGGTTTTTATTTTTTGCTAAATCAACAAAAAAAAGACCAGGCATTTTGAAAAAAAAAAAAAAAAACCACGTTTTTCTTTGTTTCTGTTACAAAATTTAGCAAATAAATATTTGTTCTTCATAAATGTATGCAAAAATACATTCTGCTACATTTCTTTGGTGAAAATAACCCAAATAAGTATTTATTATTTAGTCTGTAGGAAAGTTATAGAGTTCACAAACTATGGGATATATCTGAAAAGGCCAATCTAATTTCTTGAGGACCAGAAATGTCAGGACAGTACAGATATCCCCCAAATGACCCCTTTTTGCAAAAGTAGATAGTTCAAGGTATTTAGTAAGAGGAGAGTTTTTTGAAGTTGTAATTGCTTGTCATCATTTTTTGGAAAATTAAGAAATTTAAAAAATAAATTCACTTTTTTTTTTTTTTTTTACATATTGTTGACAGTCCAGTATTATCATATAACTACCGTATTTTTTGCTCCATAAGATGCACTTTTTCCCCCCCCAAAAAGGGGGAGAAAATGTCAGTGCGCCTCATGGAGCGAATATGGAATGACTGGTCCGGGAATTCCCGCCGCCGCCACGTCAGAATACTCGGCTGGCCGCTCGGCTCTTCTCTGCAGCAGAAACTTACCTGTTCCACGGTCCATCGCTGTACAGTCTTCTGGCGCTGGCATCTGTAGTTTGGGCACCCGGCTGTGACAGCCGGGTGCCCAGTGTGCATGCGCGAGAAACGCTGCACTTTGTGAATGGTTTGGCATTTTCTGGGACACATGACAGGTCCCAGAAGACGCCGGACCATTCACAAAGCGCAGCAGGGTAATCACTGCACAGTAGAGGAGCAGACAGCACACATTCCATGTGCCAGGTCGATCTGGCAGGGGTCTGTAATGGTTTTCAATACTGAAAACTGCTACAATCTCTTTGTTAATTAGGTATAGACCATGTGCCAATTTCTATTTCACTCTGAAATAGAACCTGGCATGAGTGGTGCAGATAGATCCCAAACAGATCTATCTGTTTGCTATTGTGATTCTTCTGTCTGGTATTATAGAGCAGAGGTTTCCAAACTTTTCAGTACAAAGATCACATTGTATATTTTGCAAATATTTGCAGGCCAAAAAAAATCAGTTTTATAAATGAATGATTACATTAAAATCAATGAAGAAACTCATTCTAAGAAATAACTCATCAGTAGTCCCTACTTTTGCACCATAAGCTTCCCCATCACATCAGAGTGCTCACTTCCAACAGAGTCTCCCTTTCATATCAGAGTCTGCCCTTTCACATTAAAAGTCTCCCCTTTTACAAGACCCCCACATCACATCAGAAGTCACCTCATCAAATCAGAAGTCCTCCCTTCACATCAAAGTCCCACGTCCAAATCAGAAGCCCCCCTGTCACATCAGAGCTTCTGTGGGCCAGGTAAAATCCTATCTTGGCCAGATGTAGCCCTAGGGCCATAGTTTGAAGACCCTGTTATAGAACCTTATAGGGACTATGCTATGTAATCACATGGTACCCTGATTGAGCCACAAAGACATTGCTGTAAAGAGTCCATGTTTGCACATCTTTCACAATCTGTTGTGTATTATTCTGCAGTGTATGCCTGCTCTTTGCCATTTGACCCTGTTTTGCGTTCTTGATTCTATTACTTTGCACCTGTTTAGTAAACTGCAAGTTACAGTTACTTCCCATCTGATAATTTGGTTGATTACGCATCCTGTTACATATATACAAATATTCTGTCAATGATTGTCTAGTTGAGATCTATGAAGGCCTTGCATTGTGAATAAGCTCCCTGCTATCTCAGTTGGACTAGGTAGTGTTGTTACAGTAGAGTATCTGGCATGAGCACTTCCATGTTGTGAAAGTGTTGTGATCCCACTCAAGGGTGAAAAAGAACACTGTTTTAATGATGGGCAAATGACTCAGGAAATAATCATCAGTTTATCCTATATAAAGTGAAAGTCATATCAGAGGTTGCACAGCCAGAGCATTATAGAGCCAAATCAAACAAAAGCTAAATGTGGGCGTACGCAATTTCTTTTACTTATAAAACTAGGCCTGCGTTAAATATTTTTCAGTCAAAATACAAAGGAAAGCCCTTTGAAAAGCTTTTAAGAAGCTAAGCACAGAAACAGCTTTCCTGTAATTTGACTCTGTAATATAGCATATGTAGTTTTATTGCCATAAGGGATCTAATAATAAAATAACCTTGTTCATTTTAAGTTTTTCAGAGCTCACAACCATGAAGAAACATATAATTCTCTACGAAAAGTACAAGGAACTTTTCATCTATATTTGGATTATTCATTTAGAGTACAAACCTGGATTCAGTTTAATCTCATAGGCTAGTTATTATATTCTTTCCACCTGGGCAGTCCAAAACATAGGCATATAAGAGCTGATGCAAGAGTGAAGGCTGTATGTTATCTGTTTACTTATAGGGAGAATTCAAGAAGTATCAAGGACCGCAGGAGATAAGTGCAAAGTGTTAGGTACACTTACCTCCGTGCTGTTCTTTCAGAGATATGGTACTGTAAATACTCTGATGCAAGCTCTCCAGTACTGTCTGCTCAATGCTTCTGGTCATTGCACATTGTGGTTCAAGTCCCAGTGAATCTTTGAATGGAATAAACTGAAAGTATCTTTGTGTTGGCATCAGAGTTTTTTGAGGAACTATACAGGCGTACCTTCAGTTTACAAATGAAAATTCATTGAAAATAATGCCTCGGTTTATGAATTTTTTTTTTGCAATACAAAGTAAGTTTCCCCAGGATGCATTGCACCTGGGATATTTATAGAGCCGGCTCCGTGCCTTTAACCCTTTGAGGACCAAGGGACGTATTTGTCCCATGTTTTTTTAATTGCGTGTATCATCTGATTAAGAACTTAAAGTACTTTTTTTTTTTTTTTTGGTTTGAGTCAAAATATTAGTTCTTATCAACAAATGGATGCTTTTTGCCAATTATTTCATGAAATGGCTTAGTTACAGCAACTGAAGTGTACGAACTTTAAAAACAAAAAATTGATTCTTTTGACATTCGTAATCTTATGGTCCTCAAAGGGTTAAAGTGCACTTTATAAAGAGTTTTGAACAGATAAGGCTTTTTTTTTTACTTTTTTCTGATCTCCAGAACGGATTAATTGGTTTTCAATGTGCTTACAATTTTTTTTTTTTCGCAATACGAAGCAAGTTTCCCCAGGATGAAGTGCGCTTGGGAGGGTTATAGCGCCGGCCCCGTGCAAGCTGGAGTCTGTGGGTAGCACGTGGCGTTGAGTGTGGAGGTCTTGGAGTGGTTTTTGCATGGAGTTTTGGAGCCAT